TAACAGCTTAAAGACCAACTGTGGAGATTTGGAAGAGAAGAGTCATTCATTACTCGTGCTTTTCAACACACCCACGCCCACCATGGCTCTCAAGTAGCAGCTTAAGTCCTTTAATCCTTCTCCCTCTACGGACTCTTTCCCTGTGGGAATGTGTCATTTCCTAGAATGCATTAGCAGCTTGTGTGGATCCCTATCAATTCAGTAGTGTGTCCTTCTTCAGTTGTGTCCATTCTGCTTTCAGCACCTCAGCAATGTAACAGTATCCAGTGTATGTGTCTGTTCCATCAGCACTACTGAAGTTGGGCACTTGCTCTTACTCACAACACACTAAGTAACATATTTATTCAGATAAATTAGGAAGGCTTTTACCACAGGACGCCTAGCTCCTGATTCATTAGTTGAAAAGCATCCTAATAAATTTCCCACTTTTAATGTTTCACAGAGCTATTAAAAGGCGTACCGAGGCACGCACAGCCCTGTTCCCCATTACAGCTTTCAATAAATGACAATCAGCACTCAGTGTAAACGGGAAGAGGAGGGGGAGGGCGTCAGACTTGTCAGCCAGCATTTCAAAGCCTTCCTAATAGCACGTAAAGACTTATTAGGCATTGTGTGCTGGCGCTTTAGAAGAGTGAGGCACTTTGTTCCAGAGTTGCGCAGGCTTAAGTTAATGAATACAGCCGCTGCTTGACTGAGGCTAATTCACATCGCTCAGCTGAAGAGGGTCCATATCAATCTATATCAGTTACACAGGGACTTTCAAAGATGAAGGGGAAACTGCTAGCGAGCTAGGGAGAAACTGAGAGCTAAAAAAGAGATAAGCCTTTTCAGAAGGCGAGAGAATACAGAGATGGAGCCGCAGAGAATTTACTTCATCTCCTATTCAGATTGTTTAAGTTTCAGTCTTTGCAAGAGAAGCTAGGACAGGGATTCAGTAATGTCTGATAACAGCACAACACTGTTAACTGATATATATCTACAGCAAAATCAATCAATCGTACAGCTTTCTGTGATATTTATCATTTCCTTTTCAGGAAATGAGCTCCTCGGAGACGGATCCTAAATCAATCTTAGATATTCTTAAAAAAAAAAGACCAAGCAATACCGAAACTGATTTATTGATATCGATCCAAAAGATTGCCCCAATTCCTCAACTGTACTGTGACCCAGGATTGCAACAATCCTCATTCTCATTCGAACAGATAGTAAGCTTAAGATTGTACCTAATGTGCAGACCCAATGCAATTGGTAAGTGGAAGACATACTGTATAATAATATGGTGCCGTTTTACAGCTCCAATATGCTCTACCTAGAGTTTCTTTGGTCTGTAGTGGTAATGATGAATATCTAGGAATGTCGGCGTAGGGTCTTGACAACCCTTTCTCTGCTTGAGCTGTACAAGTACAAGAATGTATTTGACTGTGGATGACATTTACATACATGGAGGACCTGAAAGCAAAAAGCCTTGAACACGGTTCAGGTACCTGAGTCTGAATCAAAGTGAACCCACTCAGGGTAGCGGCGAGGCCTGGTGGGTGAGGTGGGCTGTTAACAGTCCTAGCAGAGAGACACCTTCACCAAGACACTGACTGCTGTCTGTTTTTCTGGCTGTTTAGGGAGCGCTCGGTTTGATATGCAACAGCCTTTTTTGTGGGACCCGGCCCAATTAAACTCCTGGTTTTGATAGGCAGCGAGTGTGTGTGACGTAGCCTGTACAGGATTTATTTTACTGTCCGTCTGTGTGAGGGAGATGGGAGAAAGTGAGAGGAGGAAAAAGCCGAAGCAAGTGTTACAACGGCGGTTTAACCTTCCTGTTGTCCTCGGACAATATTTGACCGGTTCCCCAACTTATGTCGGGATAAAGGATTATTTTATATTAGTGCCAGAAAAATAACATGTTTGCTTGTCTACTACGTTTTTCTACGAGAAAACAATTATGATCACTTTCATTAGGTTTTGGGTTTTATTCAAATGTATAGCATCTGTGCTTTCCATTTTTCTACTGAAATCATTGCTTTGAGACCAATTCTGACATATATAGTTATCCTCATTAAAAAGCTTAAAAGAGACATCTGTTAGTATCTCTCTCTGCTTTTATATGTTCTTGCCTTTTCAAAACCCCCAATAAATGCGGGTTGATTAGGAGTTTTTGTCCCAGTGCTCCTTCGAGTCGATATCAGAAATGGGTATTCAATTGAGTAGTAGGTTTAAAGATAAGAATGTAGAAGTCCCAACTTGTTTATAGCACCTCTCACAAAGGATTTCCTTCACATTCTGTGGCTCTTCTTTTCACCAACAAATAGCTAAATTGGTGCATTTGCTTAATTTTTTTTACCAGACTCCTGCTGCAGTCAGATAACACGGGTAATACCGACAGAGTCAAACATATGCCAGCTATTTTTTCTTGAGCCTCAACAAAGTGGTCAACGTGAAGACAGCAAAGCACTACATTTAAAACAATGACATTTTGTACATTTCCATCCAATATGGAACTCGCATGCGTTGGTTATCTTTCTTTTATATCCACAATAACTAACCCTATTCCAAATTATTTATACAAGCTGCTTAATATGACAGTCTGGTAGGAGTGGTTCCCTGGAAGCTCCACTTTCATTTACAGTGTCTTTAACTGTACCTGCCAAAGGTGTAAGCACTAGGATCTAAATCAAAAAGAAGGCAGCCATTATCTAGAAAACACACACACACACACACACACACACACACACACACACACACACACACACACACACACACACACACACACACACACACACACACACACACACACACACACACACACCACACACACACACACACACACACACACACACACACACACACACACACACACACACACACACACACACACACACACACCACACACACACACACACACACACACACACACACACACACACACACACACACACACACACACACACACACACACACACACACACACACACACACACACACACACACACACACACACACACACACACACCAAGAGCAACAGTGTAAATGTGATTAAACCATCCCTAAACAATCAGTTTGTCATGGCACAAGACACATGCACACACACTCAAAGCTATATCTTGTTTATTATCACGTCCATTAGCATGAGTGACGGGAAGGCTAAGAGAGGGGAGCGGTTACACTAGTCTCCTGCGCTGTGACTAAATACTTCTGAAGTTTAGGGATATTGTGCGTTAGGGCCTTCATCATCAACAGGCCCCGTCCAGAGCAGAAGGGCTGACCTTTAACACTGCTGCATCTTCACTAGTGCTGCAGTGATGATGGATTACAGAGTCCTCCTCAGCGGACAGGATGGGAGCAGAGCCTTTCAGAGACAATGATGTGTGTGGAGTATCCTCCACCCTCCTGCCATACCTCTTCCCCTCGGGATGGAGCGGACGCAAATCCTGCTTTTCCAGCCTGCTGCCCCCCAACACGGCCCAGTGGGTGCTGTGTAAAGGCTGCGCAGAACGTATGTACCAATAGGAGTGTGGCTTTGTCAGTCAAGGTGTCAGCCAGACTGATGGCTCATTGTGTGGGCTGACAGCCGTCTGAGAGCTATAGCACTTCCATTAAGAAGGAACATCACTCACTGGCCATAACAGCCACGCTCCTCTCTGCTCACTGGCATGGAGGATAACAGGGACCAACATATACTCGGGCTAACAGCAAACTCTCCGTCAGCTCAACAGACATGTCAGAAAGTCCTATTGTTCATACAGATGTCCCTCAACATGCTGATATGTTGATATGCAGAGCTGGGAAAGTACTGCTTTCATAGGACTGGGTTCCCATAGTTTTGTGTGAAAGCTAAAGCCTCGAAACTGCATATCAAATCGCATGTTGACATTTTAGGGGATTATTTTCTGTACTGCAGTGTGAGGGAGAGAAACTCCCTCTGGATGGAGCACAGAGGTTTTAGCCTTTACAGACTGTTAACATGCACAAAAACCTATAGAACACACCCTTAACCCTAGAAAGCATCATTTGGCCGTTGCATAAGTTATCCCGAAAATGTTTCTGATGTTCACATAGACATTTGTGTTGGTTTTCAAGCTTATGCAAACCGTATGCAAAAACATTTGTAGAGAGAATTATAGTAAATATGTACCCCCCTTTTAAAGAGTTTATATTTTAATAATTGTATTTACTCAATTTCTTGTGTTATAGCTGCACTAATGTGGCAAACTGAGACTCCAAAACATTCGTACAGAACTCAACAGGTGCCTGAATGGAAATAATTATAATAATGTGTGCACACAAAATAGTACTTATTATATTAAATCCCATGGTGAATCCGTTTGGGTTAAGCTTTTATCATTTGTATTCAAGGTTTTAAATAACTTGAGCTCAAAGTAAGATCTCTGAGCATCATGGAGAAACATTTGTTCTTGTAAAATCCCTGGTGTTACAAGTAACACCTGTGTGGTTATGAGTTTATTAACCATGAAATGAATATTCCAGATGAAATATGGATGGTAAAGCCTATTTGTGTATGCTACGGTTTGAAGTACTGAGTATTTTCTTTATTGCAAAGTGAACACAACGGTTGCAAGTCAAAAACAAATAAAAAGGTGTTCAGCCTAACACTAATAGTGTTAACATGCACACACACGCAAAGCGTAATCTGATCAAGGCTTTTGATTGAAATGGAGTCCAGTTAGTTAATGGCATAGAAAGGATTGTTTAAGTGGGATGTAAAAACTAAACGTCAATTTTTAAATCATAACCTATCAAACTATTCTCATTCAGAGTTTTGGGGTGGCAGTAGCCCAGTCTGTAGGCCTTGGGACTTGGCTTGAGAACCGGAGGGTTGCCGGTGTAAGTCCCTGACGAGGCCACAGTATACATGTATGTGGGTGACAAATACAGAGGGGTTCATTGGAATCCTCCGTTTCCTGAGTATGTGTGTGCAGCTTCCAGGACCACACAAAGCTGTACACACACACAAACACACACACACACACACACACACACGCTCCTACCTCATCCAGTTCAGAGATGAAGACGGGCTTCTCTTCAAAGCCGATGGGCATGGGATCGTTGGGTGGGATTTCCACCTCTTCATACATCTTAGTGTTCTCTCTGCGGATTCCCTCAGGAAGCATCATCTGAATGTCACAAACACAAAAGAATCTCACAAACTCAGAAATCATTTAACTGGATTCTATACCACCCTCAGAGTAGGACATTCAAAGTCATTCACTGTTGGAATTCAGCTATAGTCTCATATAAATGTATGCTTATTCCCCATATCGTTATTATGGCCAGGTACATTTACACATACAAGGAATTTGCTTTGGTGTCTGGTGGTGCAAACATAAACAATCTAAGAAATAAGTTGAAAGAGTAATTTCAAAATATAACGTTAATAAAAAGAAACTATTTAGTATTAAAAAAGAATAAAGACAGGTATTTACACAACATTTACTGTACATTTAAATATACATAAGAACCTAAAAAAACTAAAAAACCTAGGACAATGAATTTATATATGACAAAATACAGTGTATTACATTTTAAAGTGGAGGGCTGTGAAGACGTGTGTGCAGAAATGTGCAAAATGTATTCAGATTTAATATATTGTATTACATATAATATATATAATATACATATATATATTAATATATGAATCAGTACTTATTTCTAACATTTGTCTAAGCACTGCATCCAAAAGGCAAATCACATAAAACACAACACCATTAATGGACATATTGAATTAAGATCTTAGTGTTTAAGATCTTGCTTTTTTGTCAATCTTTTAGATTGTAAGCAGACTGAAACGTGGAAACTTCAGTCAAACTTCAAAGCAATTCGAGGCTCACCTTGGCTCCACCAACAAACGCAGGCGTCTTTGCGGCCTCTGCATGGCAGTCATAGACGTTGGGATATCGGATACGTTCGTACACTCTCTCTCTGCTCAGTATAGGATCCCGCCGTGCAGTCAGCAGCGCCTGCTCCCTGTGTCCGCACACAAGACATATGGACCATAAAAAGAAAAGAAAAGAAAGAATCTGTAAATGAAAGCTAGGGTAAGTCCTTTAAGAGGAAGAGAATGACAATTCCAAAGTCTCTCAAAGTAAATAATCAGAAATGTCCTTTCACTAAAACATCAGCAGCGTGTCACATCTGCAGCCACATGGTGAGTCCTCACATGCCTCCATACTTTAGCTTGAGAGCGAGTGGTGCAGTGAGTGATTCAAATGGAGAGGCACAGATGTGTGGCATTATGTTCTGTCCTAAAGTGGCTTACCTCTCTGCTAATCTTTTCCTTCAGACTGGCCTGGATTTGGTCATGCTAAGATTTTTAATTAAACAGATCGCTGCCCTTTTTTTTCATCCCCTGAAATTAAACTTCCAAAAAAACAGTATTCTACCAAAAAGGAAAAAGATCTGACAAGCTGCAGTATGGCTGTGCCTTTTTTTAATGATTTTGTAAAGCTCAAGCCTAGTTGTCATGAAAAATGCAGAAGCTTGTCGGTGTTGGTGTGGAGCACAGGAGGAGACGGCCAGAGAACAAAGACAAATGAGGACCAAGAGGAGGTTTGGAGAGATGATATACCGCTGAGTTCTCATCTCTCGGGGGTCAAAGGTCAGGGCAGCATCTGAGGATTCGCCTTCTTCTCCTCCTTTCCCTCTCTTCCTCTCTCTCTTCTCCTCTCTGCGGTACAACTTCATCATCTGTTTCTCCTGCTCTGACTGGATGGTCACCTGGCACGCAAAGGTGGGCTTGGCTTCTCCAATGGCTAATCGGCTCACATCTGGAGGAAATGCATAGAAAATATAAGGCAAAATGTTAATACCTCATATATGTGTTTCAAGAGAGGATTCAATCATTGCATACCTTGTAAACGCATTAGGGGTTTAAAGGTTATTGCATTCGCCACAAACCATTAACCAGGACATTCAGTTCAGTTCAAGACTTTCTTCACTTCCCTGTAAAACAATAATGACTTCCAAATGAGCCTAACACACTATCATTATGTCCATGTCTTAGTGAGTATAGAACGTTAAAGGTTTTTCTCTGTGGTGTTTGAATGAACATAATATGTGCTGCGATTCTATCCTTTCAGCTGCACTACAGAATAACACATTTGTCACTAGAAACACTTTCAACAGAACTTTACAGGTGGTTTAATGAAATACACAAATTATGATTTAACAACTGAAATGTGAATACTGTAACCTCACTATCTTATCTTTTGTGTGTGGAAGAGAAAGTCCCTCTGGAGGAACACGGGGACTTTTGCCTTTGCAGACCAATTAAATGCACCTATAGAACACACTAAAGGAGAGGGAGAACCCCAAAAAGAATTGGGCCCCTTTAAAATGTTTGAAGAGCATCAATTACTAGTTTCAGGGCAAGTTATTAATTTCTTCTTCATTTTTATTAATGAGATCTATACTTTATATATATAGACTTGATATAGATAATATAATATCTTATATTTTAAGAGTTTTCAGACTCTAATGCTCACAGCCTTAACGAGTATGTATAGCTGGGTGGAGGTCAGCTAAAGTCAATAAAGAACAGCCTCATATTTCAGCAGTAGTCTTGATAGCCCGTTGATGTGAGAAGCGAGTGCACGTGGCTCTGCATGGGTTAATGTTCCCCATTGCAGCCTCCCTGTTTGGGGCACAACAGCTCAATAAGCGGCAGAATTGCTCTTGAAAACAGATGAGATCTGAAGATTGCAGCGCGGCCCGGGCTGATTGACTGAATGATTTCTTCTTTATCTCATCTAACGGCTCTACCTGCCGCACAGCCCCCTCCCCCCTCGTTGTAGCGGCTCCCCTCTTCCTGTCACTCCACCCACCCTGCCATTACCTTTCCAACTCCCCTTCCCCTTAACTCTGTCACCCTCTATGCACCAATTCCTCTGTCTCAACCATTCTCTATCCTTTACTCTCCCTCTCTCTGGGAGCCTTGTTATGTGTCTCCAGCAGTGATTGCCTCCAAATCTCCAGGATTCTCATTTCCACAAGCGATCATGGTGCCATAATCATTGTGAGGAGCTTCGCCAAAATAGATTTGGTTTGCTTACAAGCTGGTTTCAAGGTGCTTTCACACATTTCTTCATGTTTTTCCACACCTTTTACACAGATATAGGATTTACGAGGGCAGTCTTTTTAGATTCAACATCAAGTAGTGACTTTATTAACACTGTATTCCACAAAAACCGCAAGACCCTCCATGTTATCATTTACCATGAATAAGAGTCTAAGGAAAATCTTTCATTTTGTAATTGCATGCAGATACAATTTATCGTGGTATGACTTTCAAAAGGAGAAACAAATCAAAACTGTTGAAATGCTATACAACACACTTGTGTATAAAATATATACACATATAATGTATTGCATGTGTTTTTCATTACTTAAACCTCTTATATAATGTGTTGTGTTTTTATGTACAGGTAAGCATTTCAATTTTAACCTGCAGCGGTAGTAATTCTGTAAGTAAAAGTTTCTCATTTTGATTGTAAATCCTCTTTTAGAATGAAGAGAAAATCAATAAATGTTGATCAATACATAAGAAAAGGGAATGAGAATAAATAACTAACCTGAATGGTACAGAGCCTGTCGTTATTTAACCTTACAGATATGGTTATAGGAAAAGGCAATATTGCTGTAATCAGCATCACAATATTTACTAAGGTTGGCAGATGTAGTATATAGGTAGTAAATCATATATGGTGTATTCCCCCGTAAAACAGATCTGTTCCAAAATGTAAAAGGTTCTGCAAGGGTATTCCCTTTAACAAGTTTCATGAACAAGGAGCCAGTATTGTTTTTATAGTTTTATATGAACACATGTCCTATATCTTTTATTGAGTTGAGTTTAGTAATGATGTGTATCTGTATCTTCACTTCAGCACGTACACCTTTGTGTACTACGAAACCACTGCTCGGATTTCAAGAACTGTAAAGATTTGGCAACATCAGAATGTGATGACACGGCTGCAGAGAGAAACATAGGATGATTATATAACCTAAATAAATTATTTAGGGGACTTACTGTCCAAAGAACAAATTCGGAGTCAATAAATGAATAAAGTGAGGTTATGTAACTCTATGAAGAGATTATATTGGATGACTGTGGTTTTCTTTCCGGTAAACTCGAAATCACTCAAATTAAAAACCAACAACATCATGGTCTTCTACAAAGAAATAACAGACCATAGAATGCCGTAATTGACCAAATAGAATTCAACAAAGCTGTGTAAAGATAGAGGATATATATATTTGGATGTCAGATATTGGCTGGCAGTCTAATCCCATGGCTTAATTGCAGAATAAACCATATATATGCACATTTTGCCTATCATTTAAATATAACAATTAATTCAAATACAGCTTAACTGCTCCAGTGCTAATGATATTTCTGGCATCACAAAGTCATCCCAAGCACAAATCCCCCTATAATTCTGTCTGCTCATAGTATGGTTTTATCATTTCAACATAGCTCTCACCAACACATAAGCCCTATAATTGTGAATAACGTGTTTGAAGTCATGACGGACCAAATAAATTGCCTTGTTGTTAAACTTGCTTGGCAGTAAGAATGATGCAATGCTCCCAGCATCCTCTGAGTTCTTCTTCTCTGTTAGTTGTCACACTCAGTTGTGAGCGGAGTTTGAGCGGCAGAGAAAAGCCTCTGTTCTGATCATGGCCTGAGGGAACTGTCTAAAGTGCTCAGCAGAGAAGCACTGGCATTATCTCAGTTTTAAATGTATGGCAGAACCATTTGCCATGGTACATCAAGTCAGAGAAACTGATTTCTGAGAAGTTTGCAGCAAATATTCCTCAAACACCTACTGCCCTATCCGAACAGAAAAAGGAATATTCTGAAAGACCCATTTAAAGGCATTTGTAAGAGGACTAGACATCAATACTCAAACATGGACATGTGTCTCTAATTGTCCATTCCTCATGGCCGTGGCTCTATCAAATGTTGGATTGTGGAAAAGAGCCATGGTGAGAGTCTATTCTTTGATAAACATGCAAGTGCCAAGCTGCAAACTGCAATTTAAAAGCTAATCAGCAAGAGACAGGCATTCCCACTAAATCCCACTCTTCCTGATGGCATGCAAATAGTGGAACGTTTAATCAGCCTTTTTTAACCCCTACTGACTTCACCCTCAGTCGTCAAGGCAACACTAATCTCAAAAGCTGTCTGGCAAGTGAAATTGTAACGCTGATCAAAAGTTTTTCACAATGGGAATAACATCAGTGGAGGTTTGATGCAGTATGGGCGTGACTATACAACTGCAGTTTTTGGACTAAACACTTTTATTGTCCGATATATTCCACAGAAACAGTTAACCAAATATTTGCTGAGAGAAGTTTTATAAAAGTGAACGTGTTCCTTGCATCTAAACTGCAGCTTCTCTTTGATATAAACTTAGGTAAGCTTAAACGGTAATGCAACAAGGGCAAACAAGTGCTAGATGTTTCCTTAGCAACACATTTAATTGGATAAAATGTAGCACAGCATTTATTTGTGTTGGCCTTATACACAGCTACAAATCGTTAATTTAATTTAAATGGTATTCATTTTGTCTGTTTGCTACGGCACGTCTAGTTAAAAAATAAATAACAACTATATAGATATCTAAAACAGACAAAGCTATTTTACTAAAGGGGATAAAGTTAAGTCAACAAAATCGGAGAGGCGTAACGCTGTAATTTCTTGTGACAAAAACCTACAGTATATAAACAGTTATATCTGTTTTAAACTCATATTGGTTTATGTGTTGGTCAGGCAGATGATTCTGTTTAAGATGAAGCCACTCACTGTGTGTATTCAGGGACCTGATCACATTAAAATAATGAGCAGCACTTCTTATCATGATGAAATACTGGCAATTGAATAAAATAGATTCATGTATCGTGTCAGCTCTTATGTTAAGGATACCTTGGTATCTGGCTTGATGATTGTCTCACTTTTAAACGTCATGTCAATAACCTGCTTAAAAAACTGAGGGTTAGGCTAGGTTTCTTCTCCAGGAACAAGTCCTGTTTCTCACTTGAGGCCAGAAAAAGGCTAGTCACTGTGACCTTTTTACCTGTGCTGGACTATGGTGATTTGATTTATATGAATGCACCTGCCAATTGCCTGCAAGTCAGATGCTGCGTATCACAGTGCACTGAGATTTGTGACAAACTGTAAAGCATTAACCCATCACTGTACCCTGTATGCAAGGGCTGGTCTGCCTTCACTAACTGTACGGAGGCTCAGTCACTGGTACATTTTTATATATAAAGCCATGTTGGGTAAACTTCCATCCTACATCTGCTCCCTGATCTCACGGCGAATTGTAAGTGGCTACTGCCTGAGATCGCATGCTGTGGTTATATTACATGTGCTAACTGCTAGGACTGTCTTAGGGAAGATAGCATTTAGATGCGCAGCTCCACTGTCCTGGAATAGTCTGCAATTAAAATGGAAACTGAGCAATTTGGTGCCACTAAATGTTTTTAAAGCTCGGTTGGATGCTACTCAATCGGAAGCTGTTGGTACCTGTTCATGTGGATAGTATGTAAATTGTAATCCCTGTAATGATGCTGTATGATGTCCTTTTGTTGTTCTGTTTATGTTTTTAATGTTTCATGTGGAACCTACTTGAGCAGGTCTCCCTTGAAAAAGAGATCAATGATCTCAATGGGATACAACCTGGATAAATAAAGGTTTGAAATGAAATGAAATGAAGGATGTAGTGTGTTCAGCATTGGCCTTACATCTTAACTGGAGCAATGT